TTAGTCAAATAAATGCAGCTTTGGTGAGCAGAAGTCTACAACATTATAAGAACAACCACATAACAACACCCTGGCAACCATCCATAACATTCCAGCATTGTGCCAGCAACTTTTGTAAAGACTACTTTCTTTTTCCTCCACCCAAAGCAAAGTTTTGTTCTTCAGCCTTAAACTAATAATCCAATTTTTTTTGCTGTAACGTAATCTTTTTACTTTATTGCAGACGTGTCTATTTGAGTATTTGAGCTCTAGCACTGAGAGATGTTTTTGGCACTGATGTAAACATAAGAGCACTCTCTATGTCTCATAGGATGAGTATTAGGGATTTTCCTTTCGTTCGTGCTGAATCATTCGCATGCCTTTTTTTTAATTCTGGAAATTTAGTCTTGGACTTCAAATCCAAAATCATATGCTTCTGTCCTCTCCAGCAGTGCTCAGAACATGTTCATAAGACACACATGACAGTGTTAAACATAATATCCAAGTCTCTCGGGATAAAATCATCTGCTAAATGCCATAACTGTATGTAAATAATAGGGTTACCAAACATTTCTGTACGAAGTTTCAGAAATGCCAAAATCTGCAAACAAAACTCAGAAATCTCATTATGAACTCTTAAAAAATATGATCTCTCTTCAAATAGAACCACTCTCCAGCGGTGCATAAGACATACAGTACATGACAGTGATAAACATGATATGCACTTGTGTAAGTTGCTCAGGACAAATGCATCTGATAAATGCTATAAATGTAAATTTAAACATTAGGGATACCAAATATTTCCTGTCTGGAGATTCAGAAATGCCAAAATCCGCAATCAAATGTCAGAAATCTCTCATCAAATAAAAAAAAAAAAAGATCTCTCTTAAAAAAGCTCTATACTTTTACTGTTTGACGACTGTTGTCTTAATTGGTCTGCTTTCATCTGCTGATACTTTAATGATCTCCTTTATGTCTCCAGAGCAATTAAAGAGTTCACAGACTCGCAAAGACCTTTACATTATGTATTCATGTATTCACGTCAGCGGTTTGCGTTATGTAACCCATGCTGATATTTACGGCTGCAGCAACCAATTAGTCAACAAATTAAAAGTCCCAATTCGTTTTATTTTTTATTTTTTATTCTATGACGAGGAAAAAAACCCTGAATTGCGAAATGGAAAAATGTCAGAATTGTATGATTTAAACTTGGAATTGCAATTAAAAAAAGTTTATATCTTGTTTTTATATCTTAAAATAGTTTATATCTGAGTTTATATCTTGTAATTCTGACATTTTTCTCAGAATTGCGAGAAACAAAGTCTGAATTCAGTTTTTTGTTCCGCCATGGGATAAGAAATAAAAAAATATTTGCAGCTTTTTCTCTCACAATTGTTTTTTTTTTTCTTTTTTCGAAATGCCAAGTTTATATCTCGCAATTCTGACTTTTTCTCAGAATTTCAAGGAAAAAAAATTCAGAATTGTGAGATATAAACTTCAAATTGCGAGAAAAAAGTTGCAATTAGCTTTTTATCCCATGTTGGAAACAAACATCCATATCTTTCATAAAATTAAATTTGGTGAAAATATTGGCAGATTCTGTTTCACATCACTTGTAACGTGGCAGATCATTTATGAGCCGCTCACCTCCATGCACACACACACACACACACACACAGGGGCCACATCCATCTAAAATGAAATTAAACCAGTTCCCTTTTTCAGCAGCTGCAGTAATGATTGTGTTTCTTTAATAGCGTATAGTGAGAGGGTATACTTTCAGGGAATTACTCACGCTCTCAATGCAAAGTGCTCGACATTGGCCTGTGAATGAGGAGCTGTGTTTGCTCAAGCGAACTCCAGAGCACAATCAGGTTTAGCGAGATTGGAGGTAGCTCTGGCTCGAACCGACTGGAGAGCGGCCAAGCTTTTGCAGGAGTTTCTCTTTTCTTCTGTGTGATATTTACTTTACAGCTATTCAGAGCAACCGACTGGGGCGAGACAGACAAGCCCGGAATAAATGCTCACAAAGTCCCTCTTTAACACATATTCTTCTTGTATTGACACAACAGTGCGGTTCCATTTAAATCGGGTTCTTTAGTGGAGATGTTGAGCTATGTATGGACTGGAAAGGGTGGTTCACGTGATGGGGAAGGGGGTGGACGTGGGGGCATGGCGTGACTCGTACTCTTTATTGCTGGATAGAGGACTGAGTCTGTCCTCTTTTATGGGAAATGAATGAATAAACATTGGCGGGTCATGCTTTTGTCGTGACTCACAGACATAGTTTCAAGCATGATAGGAATAATAGGGAAATAAAGCAGTTGTGCAATTTGACTGTGAATTCTTTTGGATTCATGCCACGGTGTAAAACAACGGCATGTACGGGCAGGTAGAAAGTCAATTTACTTCCCCTCCTTTTGTGTGCCATGTAGCTATTGTGAAAACTGAGATCTCTACGATTAGAGACCCAGATCGCTGATGCATCTCACCCACATACTGATCTGCTCATTTATTTTGCTGTGTTGTTTGGTAAATAATGAGGATTAATTGTTTGGTTGTACATTAAAGGGACAGTTTGCCCAAATATGAAACTTCGGTCATCATGTTGTTTGAAACATGTTTTCTGTGGATGTACCATAATATTTTTGATAATAGCATCATAACAGTATTTTATACAACATGTGTGCTATATTTCATGTCTCCTGAAGCCATACAACAGGGTGGAACAGACTGTAATTTTAATCTTGCCTTCAGCTGTAGATCTCAAATCTCAAATCTCACTTACACTTCAATGAATAATGACTATTTTAATTAACTGTGGTCTGTTTCTCTCACAAAACTATCAGGTTTCAACCAACGTGAGGGTGTGTAGATGATGACTGAATGTTCATTATTTGCTGAACTGTCCCTTTAAGAGTGTAGTTCACCCCACCCCCTCCAAATATGACACTGTCATCATATATTCACTCTGATGTCATTTTAGGATATTTTGGGGGATCTACAAACTGACCTTTTCCATACAATGAAAGTAAACAGTGACCAACATAACAAAAACACCATTAAAGTACTATGAACATAGTCTATATGACTTGTCATGAAGCCATACGATTGCTTTGTGTTCAAATTGAAGTTGTTATTTGAGCTCTGAAACTTCATTGCATCTCTTTATCACACAAAGCTGACTTCAAAAGACTTGAAATATAGAGCATAAGTATGGAAAAACAGTCTTTTTTGGAGCTTGGCATCGTTCATCCCATTCACTTTCATTGAATTGAAAAGAGCAGCGTGAACATTTTGAGTAACATCTCTTTTTGTTACCTGGAAACAAGAAAAATCATACAGGTTTGAAACAACAAGGAGAGTAAATTCACCCAAAAATGACACTTCTGTCATAATTTATTCACCCTAATTTCATTTTAGGATATTTTGGGGAATCTACAAACTGATCTTTTCTATACAGTGGCAAAAACACCATAAAAGTACCATGAAAACGCTCCAGGTGACAAATGATCTGAAACCATACAATAGATTTGTGTCCAAAATTTAAGGTGTTATTAATCTATATGGCTCATTTGCATCTATTCATCACACAATACAATCGTGTGACTTCAAAAAACAGACAATCGATCATTTTTACAGTGCTTTTTTATGCTACTTTCCCATTCGCTTTCATTGGATAGAAAGAGCAGCCTGAACATTTTGCAAAACATCTGCTTTTGAGTTTCTCGGAAGAAAAAACAGGTTTGCAACAACACAAGGGTGTGCAAATGATGCCAAAATGTTCTTTATTTGGCAAACTATCCCTTTAAAAGAGTGACATTCACCCAAAAATGACACTTCTGTCATAATTTATTCACCCTAATGTCATTTTAGGATATTTTGGGGAATCTACAAACTGATTTTTTCTATACAGTGGCAAAAACACCATAAAAGTACCATGAAAATGCTCCAGGTGACAAATGATCTGAAACCATACAATAGATTTGTGTATGAAATTTAAGTTGCTTTTTGATTGTTTTACAGTGATTTTTATGCTACTTTCCCATTTACTTTCATTGTAAAGAAAGAGCAGCTTGAACATTTTGTGTAACATCTGCTTTTGAGTTTCTCGGAAGAATGAAAAAAACAGACAGGTTTGCAACAACATGAGGGTGTGTAAATGATGCTAAAATGTTCATTATTTGGTGAACTATCCCTTTAAAAGAGTGAAATATGCCCAAAAATGACACTTCTGTCATCATTTATTCACTCTAATGTAATTTTAAGAAATTTTGGGAATCTACAAACTGATCTTTTCCATACGATGTAAGTAAACACTGACCAAAAATGACAAAAACACCATAAATGTGCCATGAAAAATAGTCCATATGACTTTTCTGCTTTATTTGCAAGCGTTCTGAGACCACATACAATAGATTTGTGTCCAAAATGTAAGCTGTTATTAATCTATGTATAACATCTGCTTTTGAGTTTCTCTGAAGAAAAAACAGGTTTGCAACAACACAAGGGTGTGCAAATGATGCCAAAATGTTCTTTATTTGGCAAACTATCCCTTTAAAAGAGTGAAATTTGCCTAAAAATGACAATTCTGTCATCATTTATTCACTCTAATGTAATTTTAAGAAATGATGTCCATATGACTTTTCTGCTGTATTTGCAAGCGTTCTGGGACCAAACAATAGATTTGTGTCCAAACATTTAAGATATTCTTTGATATCATTTGCCCCACAAAACAATCATACGACTTCAAAAGACTTGACATATAGAAAATGGATTAGTGCTTTTTTATGCTACTTTCCCATTCACTTTCACTGTATAGAAAGAGCAGCTTGAACATTTTGCGTAATGTCTCTTTTTGAGTTTCTCAGAAGAAAGATCAAACATACAGGTTTGCAACAACATGAGGGTGTGCAAATGATGCCATAATGTTCATTTTTGAGTGAACTATCCCTTTAAATTTGGTCAGAATCGAGCAGTAGGTGTATTAACTGCAATTTCTGTCTAATATTGTTCGGTAGGACACAGACAGAAACTGGAAGACCCCCCTAAACCGCCGCTGTTCTCAGAGCGCCTGAGCGAGTTAGAGCGTTTACGCCAGACCAGCATGAGAGTTGCCGTGCAAACCCAGAGTCCCCGGCCGTCTCTCAACGCCACGCCGAACTCCTTCAATCCGCAGGGGCAAACTCAGATCTCAGGTAAACCGTCCCGTCCCTTCAACGCAACTATTTCAGCCTGTCTGGCCGTCAGCCATGACCTTTAAGGGTTTATGTACTGTACAAACATCAGTGTTTGGAGAACAGGTAGGTTTATTATTAAGAGGCCTGATTTGCTGAAGATAAAAGAGAGTGGGTGAGAATGATGCAAGAAATAGAAATGGTGAATTCGACAATGTCAATCAGATTTAAACAGGAGATACTGATGGACGTGCCAAATCTGACATCACCTTAAAGGGATAGTTCTCCCAAAATGAAAACTCATTGTTTTCTCACCCTCCTTTCAATCCAAACCTGAGTTTCTTTCTTCCATGGAAGACAAAAGATGTTCTGATGAATCTTTGTGCTTCTCTTCATCTTCAAACCACGTCTGTGAAGGACAAAAAAGCACCATAAAAGAAGACATTTAGAAGACTTCAGAAATCCTCTGATAGTTTTAAGTGAGGGAGAGACCCAGATATCGTCATAGCACTCAAATCTCATTCAAAATGGTGCAGACTAGGTTCTGGCGAAGACTGATGAAGATTCTTCTTTTTTTGTTCCAAAAAAAAAAAAAAACAGCTTACGGGTTTGGAACGACATGAGAGTGAGTAAATAATGACAGATTTTCATTTCTGGGTGAACTACTGCTTTAATTCCATTACATTTGTCCAAATATTTTCATTAGTTCCTGCTTCACTTTTGGCATATTGGAGCATGGGCAATTTTAATTTTTTTATCATATGCGCTCCGCTTTAATGTTTGCATAATGTTTGCCATTCTCTTGGAGCGTCTCCAGCCCCTCTCCTGTCAGAGCGGACGCTGTGTTTACTAGAATACTGTAGAAAGCAAACAGGAAACCGTTCTTGGCTCTGAATGTGATTAAGCTATTTACATACCACAGCCTTTTATACTAGTCTGCTCGGTCTCGGTCTCCATATTATTATAAAAAGAAAGGTCACCCACTTTGTGTGCACAATGAGTCTTTAAATCTGACTCACCAGGTAGGACTCTTCTGAGGGTGAATCTCCAAAACATGTCCTGGTTACCCCAAAAAAATAAATAAATAAATATATATATATATATATATCCCAAAAACATAACAACAAAAAAAAATAAAAAAAAATATAAAAAAAATATATATATATATCCCAAAAACAAACAAAAAAAAAAATTATATATATATATATCCCAAAAACAAAATAATATTTATATAAATTTAATTTATTTTAATTCAGTTGTTCTCAATGATGATTCTCATTATTGTACTATTTTGTGCTTTCTGTACATATTATTTTAGTTATACATTTATTTAATCAGCAAAAATGCATTAGCACATTAATGGCAATTAAACATATATTTATTTATTTAAATTGTTCTCAATTGTGCCATTTTATTCTATTTATTATTATTATTTTATTTAACCTTTATTTAATCTGCAAAAATGCAATAGCACATTAAAGGCAGTATAAATATTTCACTATTTATATACAGTAGTCAACATTTGAAGTGGATTGAAACCTTTCATCAAAGATGTCCTAAAACCAAAACAATACCCGTTCTTGTCTTAGGACAACTTTGATGAACTTCTTTGATCCACTTCAAATGTTGACTACTGTATATCTATAAAAAATTATAAAATATAGATCTTTCTTTTATTTTTCTGCAAAACATAAATATATAAACCTTTTTTTTATTTTAGAGTGAAATATAACCATGTACTTGACAGCTTTCACAAGAGTCGCTCTTTTTTGTGGTGGTGTGTGATACTGTTCATTTTTGAGGTCACTGTTGTAAACATCACTGAGCTATAAAAACACTGCTGTGGTCCTGAGAGAATCACACCCAAACACATCTTTGAGGATGCTGTTGTGCAGATGTTGACTGGAGTCGTCTCATTTATCATGCTCACAGATCCGCGGCAGGCGCAGTCCTCTCCACCCTGGTCCTACGAGCAACCGTACACTCCTTACCTGAGCCAAATGACATCTCCATCCATCCACTCCACCACCCCGCTGTCCTCCACCCGCGCCACGGGCCTGCCCACCATCAGCGACGTGCCAAGACGCCTCTCAGGTAAACTAACACCTTATAGAAAAGACAAATCACAAATAAGAGCTCTATTATCTCGAATATTTCTTTAGACAGCAATGAGACTGAGACAACGTTTCAAACTGTGCTCAGATTGGCCAAAATGCCAAAGTCTCAAAATAAACTCAAGAAACTCTCAACAAGTTCTCTCAAGATCATATCCACATTCATTTTATGCACTACTGGTCCAAAGTTTGGAATAAATGTGATTTTTTTAAAAATGTTTTTAAAGAGGTTTCTTCTTACCAAGGCTGCATTTATTTAATTAAAATAAAAAAAGTAATATTGTGAAATATTTTTGCAATTTAATATTTTAAACTGTAATTTATTTCTGTGATGCAAAGCTGATTTTTCAGCATCATTACTCCAGTCTTCAGTGTCACATGATCCTTCAGAAATCATTCTAATATGCTGATTTGCTGCTCAATTACTATCAGTTATTGTTAGCACTCAATTATTAATCATTTTTAGTTTTGTTTAGGATTATTTGATGACTAGACAGTTCAAAATAACAGCATTTATTTTAAATAGAAATCTTTTGTAACATTATAAATGTTTTTGTCACTTCAGGCATTTTTTTCAGGCTGTTTCAGCAACCATCTATCATATAGAGACTCATTTTTCTTATCCAATCAGTTTTAGATGGATAAAATCAAGCCCCGTCCTACTTTTTATGCATTGAATATCCTGTTTCATATCAGATTACAGAAGTAAAGTGAGTTTTTCACTTGTTGACTCCACATGAATCACAACTGCGTTATAACAGGGCAACCTCTGAGCAATTAAATTCTCCTCTGGCCCATATCGCTTTCTCTGCCAGCCACTCATTTCAGAAATGTGGGAAATGTAGTGTCTCAACACTCAGCCTATACGGTATTTACTTCGTGTTAGCTGTGAACATTTGTCCAAACACTCAATTCGCTTCTTTCCCCGCTGAAGTCGAATCAAAGCATTTTTCCAGCGTTAACTTTCTGCTTTGTAAGCGTTTGTTACGTCGCCCGTGGGCAAATGTCTTCCAAGCACTAGTACCTTTAAAAATAGAGAGCATTTGAAAGAATATCTCCCCTGACCCCCGTCCTCGCCGACGGAGTCTTTGAACTCAACTCTCTTTTGAAAGGAACAATAAAACAGACGAGTTTCTGACTCACAAACCTCAAAAGGTAAACGGGTAGTTGATGCATAACATGTTTGTTCATGGGATTTTATATTTTTAGAAGTGCATGTCATAACTTCTGTAACTGATCACTTTTATGTTATTTTATTAATTTTCTTTCTTTTTTTTAATGATCATGCAGTGTAACAATCATGCATTTGTAAATTTTGACATATATATAAAATGTACATTTTAGATGCACATTAATTTATTATGTATTTTATGTATAATTTTATTTGAAAAATGTGAACATTTTAAGGGAACCTGTAGTGTGACAAATGCATTTTTAGAACATACAAATATTCCACTTGGCATTTAAATTCACATGAGTTCATAACGGTTGCATGACCAATAATTACAAAAGAATGTTGTTTAAAATAGTTTTAGATGGGGTTTTAAAAATAGTTTTGGATGGGCTTTCCAAAAGCAATTCTCGTCAACTACCTAAAAGCTCTCGAGTCCAAACCTTCGGAAGCGTTTGCTGTGCCTTTATTAATGAAATAGGCACCAGATTGTGGTCCACCCGCCCTTTGGGATTCATTTTGAAACAAACACACAGCGTGGACATTTTCTTTAATGCACCTGTTTGACTCTCCGCCAGGTTGGTTTTTGAACTCTTTTTTTTTTCTTCTTCTTTCTTTCTCTTGGCTCCCCACCCTAACTGTTTTCTTTGAGCCTGGAGCGAATGCGAAAGTTTAAATGACTTCTTGGTGTGGCTGCTTTTTGAACCCCGGCCAGCTGCCTCGTTGGGTTTGATTAGTTTAGATTTCACCCGGCTTTCATCTTGGAGATGTCAGCCTTTGTTCTTTCCTCAAAGAGACACACGCACCTCTTGGTCCTAACGCCCCCTATTCTTCCTCGGAGCTCCGCTGAATGGCTCGGTCTCGAGAAGACACGTTCCGAACGCATCGCACCCTCTGCAGCTGTTTGCGTGGCTATTCTTCTCCACCGTGGGCTCGTGTTACACCTTTCAGCCAGAGACCTGGTGACTGATAAGGACGCAGATGAAGGCATGCATAATATTACACAGAGAGCAATGAATTATCAGAGTGGGATCACGGGACACTGGAGGACTGTAAAGAACTTTGATTTTCCCGTTAGTGAAGTCTGTTTCAGGAGGCTGGTTTAAAAGCATGTTTGGTGGACTCAGTGGTACAATTCCTCAGTACTTTGATACAGTATATGCAATAGCACAGACTGCATGTACAGATCAAATGAATACCTTAATAAAAAGTGGCTTTGGATAAATGATTGTAAATGAGTAAATGTAAATTCTTCAGAGAATACATGGTACATGTCCACAAAACATGGCACTTTGATATTCACCATGGTTGCTTTGATTTGATAATGTGTAATGGTATTTAAATGGTACTCAAAGATATATAAAAAAAATACCATATTGTATGTCCACAAAACCATGATATTTCCATGGTACTTTGAAATATACCATGGTACCTAATGATTACCCTTACAAAACGTCCTAAAAAAATTTGTAAAATACTGTAAAATTGTGAAATATTATTACAATTTCAAATAACTGTTTTCTATTTGAATATATTTTAAAATGTAATTTATTTCTGTGATCAAAGCTGAATTTTCAGCATAATTACTCCAGTCTTCAGTGTCACGCGATCCTTCAGAAATCATTCTAATATGCTGATTTGCTGCTCAAGAAACATTTCCGATTATCATCAATGTTGAAAACAGTTGTGCTGCTTCATATTTTTGTGAAACTGTGATATGTTGATGAACAAAGTTTCTAAAACCCCAAACAGTAGTATACATGCACCAAAACATTCAAAACACCAAGATACATCTTTGTTAGTGGCTTCCGTACCTCTTAATGTGCTCTTAAAGCAAGCAGGCAGTCTTGTAGCCGGCAACCCTGAAGCAACCTGAGGTCAAAGGTCGCAAGATCACAGTGATGATAGGTCACAGCTTGAGCCATCATGATCCTCTTGGTTTCTAGCCTTGAGCTTGGGCTACTAGACCACACCATCCGTGTAATACAAAGTGACTGATGTCGTATTAAGTTTAGCCAAAAAGGGTCTGGCAAGAGCCGATAGCATAATGGGTTCATTCTCGTGAATGTCTGCAGCGAGGAGCGATGTTTAATGGTGATTGAAGGTTGTATATGTGAATTTCTGTCATTGTTTTGGAAATGTGACTTGGGTCTCCTCTCTCCCTGAAGTGTCTTTTTTGTTTGGTTTGAAATGTCAAGAGTTGATAATGTGGAGAGACAATCTGCTCATAATTGGCCACACATGTTCTGTAAAGTTTGCCAAACTGTCACTCATAAAGCGGCGCTCATGGACGACACGCGACCGCTCCTAAACCAGCAGACAAGCTGACGGGATTTATCATCATAAAACAGTACTTTACCTCAGCAACAGGGAGAGAGGAGAGACGAGACGCGGTTAGCTCAGAGACTTTGTTTGAAGTGAAGGAAAGGAGAAATGGACAAGATTTTTGGTTTGTTTGAAGTCGAGGAAAAAAGGGAGAATGCAAAACGGGAAACAGTAAGTATAAGGAACAGGAAAACAGAAGGAAAGAGATTTTGGTTTGTTTGAAGTAAAAGGAAAGAAAGGGGGAAATTGATGTGGGGAAAAGTCCGGAAAGGGGAAATGGAAAGAAAAGGAAAGTAGCTGGTTTGAAGTAAAAGAAAAAAAGAGAAATAGAAAAGGGAAAGGAAAATATTCTGGTTTGCTACAAGTAAAGAAAAGGTGAAATGGAAAGGAAAAGATTTTAGTTTGTCTGAAATAAAGGAAAGAAAAGAGGAAAAGGTCAGGAAATACAATCTGGACAGGAAAGGGAGTTTTAGTTAGTTTGAATTAAATGAGAAAAGAGTAAATGGGAATTGAAAGTGGAAAACACTTTGGTTTGTTTGGAGGAAAGAAAAAGGAAAATGGGAAATAGTACAGAAGGGAACAGGGAAATGGAAAGGGAAATATGGAAATATGGAAAATGGACACAAAAGGGGAAACAGAAAGGAAAAGACTTGATTGATTCAAGTAAAGTAAAGGAGAAATAGTAAGGTAAAGAACAGAGAAATATCCCCAAAAGTAGATTTTGGTTTGAAGTAAAGGAAAGAAAAGAAAATGGGAAACTTCAAGAAAGGGGAAGAGGAAAGAGGAAAGGGAAATGGGAAATGAAAGGTAAGAAAATGGGAAATGATTTTACTTTCTTTGAAGTAAAGGAAAGAGAAGGGGAAACTGAAATAGGAAAGGGGGAATAGAAAGGAAAAGAAAAGAGTTTGGGTTTGTTTGTTTGAAAGGAAAGGGGAAATGGAATGGAATGGAAAGGAAAAGAGGAGAGGAGTTTGGGATTGTTCGTTTAGAGCCTTTAATTTAGCAGTTCTCCATTTGAAAAGCAGATCATGATGAATGCAGAGTGCAAAAAGAGACAGATGTGGAGATGATAAGACGTTCCTCTGGGATTCTCTCTCCTGGGGTTCTGGGAGTCACAGCCCATTAGTGGTTTATAATTTAAAAACATCTTGTGGTTCTAAGAGAGAAGATCGGCCCTTCTCTTTGGCTAATCGCAGACATGCCACCACATCTGAGACTGCTCATTATGCATCCTGTGGAAACTGTGTTTTCCTCTAAGCGTTTCCATGTGCACTCCCAGTTTATTCCTACATTTCTCTTTGATATTCATATAAATGCGAGGATGCGTGTTTGTGCATGTGAACGCACATGATGCATTCGCATACAAACCTCCGGACAACCTTCAGCAAACGGCGCTGAAGAAACAAACAGCCAGAAGCCAAACTCGAAATCTTTCAGCAGCACGTCAGCGCCGTTTGACAGTTAGTTTGCATATTGGTCCGGTGACATTTTTGCAGCATTAGTCTTCATCTTGACCTTGAATCAACCCAAGCATTGTGTAATTCAGGTTGCGGATAAACATTTAATTCATGTTTATGTTTTGCTAGGGCAATTAAACACTGACATGCAAGATGAGCCAGTTTCTCTTGTCGGTTGGTTAAAATTTATAGCATTTTCCTTAATTAAAAATGCTAAGACTGGGCTTGTAAAGAGAATCTGTTCATGTGGAGTCACAACAGGAACTTCTGAATCAATGCGCAACAATATGAATTTTTTTCTTGCACTGTGAAGTGTCATTCTGACGCTTTCATGGCTTGGGATATTTCAAACACTGACTCGTATAATAAAAAAAAACATTCATATTTACTTCCATTATTTTTCACATTCATTATTTGGAAGAGAAATGCAGATAAAGTTGCATGCACTCCATCCTTTTTTCAGTTTATAAAGAGTTTTGTGTTGACAGGCTAGTTAGTTTGAGCTGTATGCAAATTAAGTTTGACAGCGCCCTCTTCTGTCTGATTTAACAATGTCCCTTTATTCATTTCAGTCTCATTTGGTGTGGATGAAGCTACTTTGAAACTCAAGCTACTCATAATTTAAAGTAGTCACAATCAAGAATCATTATTTTTTAAATCAAAGCATTTATCTAATACAAAATCAATGATTACCTCAAATAGGGTGTCACAGGCGAGCTAATAAATAAATAAAACTAAGTTGAAAAAGAGTTAAAGTGACCCAATAGCATTAAGTACAACGAAATATTTAATTACAAAACATCTGAAAATATCAAATTACCCACAGAGACTGAAATACATTTATTTTCATGAACTGCTAATATGAACAGAAATGAAATTTGAATGTTAAATGCAATGGGGCCCAAAAGGCCGACAATATATTAATAAATATATTGTCATTTTTTTAGGATTAAAAAATAAGCAAACAAAATTTGAATTTAAAATGAAAATATGTTAGATTCTGCACTTTTTCTATATGATAGATAAGTAAAATAAAGTTGAAATGCACAATTGTTTATTACAATGAATACAATGGAAACGTTGATGGAAAATGTATCTTTACAAATCTATAAATATCATTGATTTATATAATCAGAGCATTTATCTGGTACAAAAACAATGAGTAAAAATAATGTTGTACTTTAATAATCATTGTTGTACTTTTTAAACTTAATTTTACTGATTGTTTTCGTACCATATAAATGCTCTGATTATGTAAATAAATTATAGTACAGAAATTGTACTGAAAAGTGTATAGCAATTAAAAACGATGCACAAAAAAAAGGCATTTTCACTAGTGCACCCTAATTTTTGGACCCCACTGAAAGAAGACATGCTCAAAACATTTTCTTGATTTAAATATCACTAAAAAACTGTTCTTTTCTCTCCACCAGGTACGTCGGATCTCAGTCCGTTCTCGGCCGACCCGCGGCAGTTTGAACGTCAATTTCCCGGTCTGTCCTCCCTCACAGATACCCGTTTCCCCAGTCCCAGAATGCACTATCCTGCGACGTTCACGTACACCCCTACGCCGGTCACCTCGGGCATGTCTCTGGGCATGTCCAGCACCACCCACTACCACACCTACCTGCCTCCACCGTACCCCGGCTCCACCCAGAACCAAAGCGGGCCCTTCCAGACCAGCAGCACGCCGTACCTCTACTACGGCGCCTCGTCCGGGTCGTACCAGTTCTCAATGGTGCCGGGCGGTGATCGATCCCCCTCCAGGATGCTGCCGCCTTGCACTAGCGCATCCACCGGCAGCACCCTCATCAACCCCAACTTGCCCAATCAGACGGACGGAGGCGAGGCAGACGGCAGCCACAGCAGCTCGCCAACCATTCTCAACTCCAGCGGCAGGATGGACGAGTCCGTTTGGAGACCATATTGAGACGGTCTGGTCAAACGAGACCGCAACGCAGCACTGTTAGCCTTAAAGACAGAGTGCGAGAGACAGTTACATGAAAGAATCATCGGATTTGAAGCACAAATTCATTGGTACAGGTACAATATTGAATGATTGCAGTGTATTTTTACGACTACACTGACGCTTTTTTTATTCTATAAAACAGATGACCCTTACAGGGAATGATTTGCAGCGTTAAAGGGATAGTTCACCCAAAAATGAAAATTTGATGTTTATCTGCTTACCTTATCTTTTGGCATCCAAGATGTAGGTGACTTTGTTTCTTCAGTAGAACACAAACGAAGATTTTTAACTCAAACCGTTGCAGTCTGTCAGTCATATAATGGAAGAATGCACTCAGTACGTGCTCAGGACAGTTCGGACATTGCGGTGAAAATCAGAGGTAAAAAACTATATAAATACTGTTCAGTTTCTAGCACAGACCGATCGTTTAGTGTCTTTACACATCAATCTATCGTCACGAGCCGCAGGGTTTAATTTGGTTTTGTTTGTGTATGTTTTTTTGACTCTCAAAGCCGTGATTCCCATTCACCTCCATTATAAGACTGACAGACTGCAACGGTTTGTGTTAAAAATCTTCGTTTGTGTTCCACTGAAGAAACAAAGTCACCTACATCTTGGATGCCCTGGGGGTAAGCAGATAAACATCACATTTTCATTTTTGGGTGAACTATCCCTTTAAGGTGCGATCAAAGGTGAATTTCAAAGAGCAACGGTAAATGTGAATGCACCTTTAGTCTAATTCATCTGACATTCCACTTCATCAGTGATATAACCCATTCAAGTCATTGAATTTAAAGGAATAGTTCAGCCAGAAATGAAAATATACTCACCTTCATGTCGTTCCAAACCTGTATGACTTTCTTTCTTCTGCAGAACACAAAAGGAGATGTTTAGCACGATATTGATGCTGCACATTTAAATACAACGAAAGCATACTGTCACTGTCAAGCTCTGAAATCCTCTTTAAGATGGTTTTGGTGCTTTTAAACTCCAAAAAGCACGAAAAAAGTGGTCCAAATGGCTTGTGTGCTAGGTCTTCTTAAGCCATTCAATAGTTTTGTGTACTGAAGAGACCTATATTTAAGAGTAAACGATGCCAGAACGTTCATTTTTGGATGAACTATCCATTTACCTGCCCTAGAGTAAACTTTCATTGCAATAGGAATGCATCCAAACTATTGGCGCATAATATTTTTATACTAACTCTCTATAATTTAGCATTTCTTAACACTGAAAGCAATTGTTTTTTATTTATGCGTGCTGGAAGTCAGCTATTTGAATAAGTACTGGCTAATTCCCTCTGATTATTTTAATTTATGTATGAAATGGTAGCAAACGGTACTGATTCGAGAAGCAATATAAGCCATATAAACGTTAAATTATGCAATATGTTTAGAGGGACAAAATTTAAGATGTTTGAATATTATTTTTGGGACATCTATTAATAACTTAACGAAATATGTACTCATTTTGTAATTTAAATGTTTTGTTATTATTATTATTGTAAGGCAACCAAAACGAAACTCAAATGATACGTAAGCAATGAAGGAAGGATATTTCATTGTAAGACTATATCCACAATTAAACGTTTGTGGATTTTTCTCAGAATAAAATCTCAATCTGAAACATTTCATATTAAGAATTAAGACATCCAGAAATGTTTTAGACTGGGTAAATCTGAGTAAGTAACATCTATAACACAAACAATTAATAAATGTACAAAGATGTGTTACGAGAGGTGAGAGGTAACTCCACTAGTTTGACTTTGGTATCCAATGTTTATCTAGTTAATTTATTTTAGATGCATTTTTTATTTAATGTTTTTTGGTGACTACAAGATCGACCAAACTCTTGCAGCAGTGGCCTAAATCTTTGCATCTTCAGATACAGACATGATCAAATCTCACGCATGCACTTGCAATAATAAAACGACCAGTTTCTGTCTCTTGTGCAGATATGAAATCATTACTATCGTCAGCCTTCTGTTCTATAACTGGATGGTTAACTGCACTTTGTAGGTTAGTTAAACACTATGCAAGCTGTACTACAACAATCAAACTCAGAAATGTCTCTTTGCTGTGTGCTAATGTTCTTGAGGTACAATATAAACAAGTACTTTGATATTACTGGCATGTCAGACAACAGAATATTTGGCAATCTTTGGGATGCAAGACATTTGACAAGCAAACGTTATGCTGAACCGACAATCAAATTGAGTAGCCTAAATTACACGATGGATGTTTACCGGAAAAGTTCATCATCTCTATTTCTAGAATGTATTTATTGGTCAACAAACCCCATAATGAGTTGGGATGAAATTATCACTGACAGGGAACTCCTGCAAATATGTTACCAATTTTGCGATTTTCTTTACACTTTGTAGTTGTGGTCTTTGAAGAATAATGTATATGTTTCTGGAGTCAACAACAAGTGCTACTTGATAGAATGTTTGTCCAAATGTAAGTTAATAGGCTGCTGGCAGCGCTCTTCTAAAACAAATGTCACTTGTCTTTTTATTTCTATTTTTGTGTGGAACAAAGCACTTATTTTTAAAGGGATGTAAAACAAATGAAGCCTAAATGCCAGATATAAAGTCACCTTTATTTATTGATAAAATACAAAAAAGAACGTCCGGGTTATATTTTACTCAAGAAGTTACATTTGCATGAAGAAAACGAATCCTGTTTCCTAAATCCTGCTTTGTATTTTAATGCATTAAATGAAATAAATTAGCATCAATTAAATTCAATCCAATGGCATATGAATACTTTTTAATAAATAAAAATAGGCATTTTTTCCCCCACCTCACAGTGATTAATAATTATGAAAATGATTGTACGTAGTGCCTGGTTCTAAACTTAATGCAAAATATAATATTTTTTTCCCTTTTGATTTTTGTTATAAGATATAACCCGAACATGCTCTTTTTTGGGAGATTCACCCAAAAAACTAGCAATCTGAACTGCATCTTTATTTGGGCTCAAAGTTCATGGCAGATTGTGATTCTTACAGTTTTGCAGAAACAACTAAATTGAGTATTTGTTACCCCGCTCATTTCTTCTGTACAGTATTAAACTCCATTTCTTTGAGTACAAAAACAACACTTACACTGCTGTTCTTAACTGCCCCACTATTTGATTTAGCCTTGTCTTTTACCGTGGTGTCTTCTGGTAGTGAGGAGAGCGTTTATGTTTACAGAATGTTTACAAAAAGCTGCAAGCAGGTAACTGCAAGTGTAAAGAACCTCTGCACTGTTAACTTTGTATGAATCCGTGTTCAATTGTTTCAATATGCCTGATAACACAAGAACAACATTGGTCTGTCTTAATCAAACGTGTCACAGGGCCAAATATTTATATGCTTTTGGGCAATGGACTATGTTTTTCATTGACCCTTTTTTATGTAGTACCCTTGCAAGAGTCTGATTTATGGGTCAATAGCAGAGATTCCTTCCATGAGACTATTTATATTCATTCTATGCATTAAACAAAAAAGCATTGAGATTTCATTTACATACAGTACGTTCTGTCATTATCACAGACATACAGAGAGTTTTGGGCTTCTCCTTGGAATATCTATTTGCAAATTTCATTGATATTGCCAGTACGCAAGGTCAAATTAACACATGAAGAAAACTAAATGCTTCCGCAAAGTCTTTTGCGCTCCATTATAGCCGTTTCTGTACTTTTAACTAAAGTGTTTTGTATTTGAAAACCCTGGAAAACCTGCTATTGAAATATGCATCATTTTGATTCATCACAATGCTTGGTTTGTAAACAATGGGAGAATGCATTATCTCATGTGTCGAGCATTCCTTCCTTGCACAGACTGTACAGATGTTTCTCTTTCCACAATCTTTCGTCCTGTTTCATCCATAAAGTTTGTGAAACTTTAACCTGTTTGTATGGGACTAACAAACCAGTAAACATTTGTGAGATTTTTGAGCGTTTCTGATGATTGTATCATTTGTCTTTGAGAATAAAAATGGCTTTTTGTTATAACTCACAGTTTTCCTTTTTTTCCCATTTCATTAATGAGGAAGATATGATGATTAGGATGACCATTTGTACCACTGTTAAAATAAGCAGTTTGATAAACACAAATGTGCAATTTGGTAGAGAAACTTAATGCATGAATTAACCACTTCATGCATGAAGTTTGAAGGAATAGATCAAATTTTGTAAAAACAATAATCAGAACTGTGTAGAAAAGTTTCATAAAAACATGAATTTGTCATATTCTAGAAATATTATGCATAAAAACTACTTTCACTGCTGATTCACTGAGCTCTAAAATTAGCTGTGAACCCAACTGAATTTAACTGAACATAGCTATTAACGTATTAACATAATAACATTAACTATTAATAAAAACAGAGAAACTTTTCTGAGAAAATTCTATTTTAATTTGTAAAATGTTTAATAAATCCATTTTGGACTATATGAATAAAATCCATAGCACAAAAAATATCTATCGATCTATCTATCTATCTGTCTGTCTGTCTGTCCGTCCGTCCGTCCCTCCGTCCGTCTGTCTGTCTATCTATCTATCTATCTTTCTATCTATCTTTCTATCTGTCTATTTATTTATCTGTCTGTCTGTCTGTCTGTCTGTCTGTCTGTCTGTCTATCATCTATCTATCTATCTATCTATCTATCTATCTATCTATCTATCTATCTATCTATCTATCTATCTATCTATCTATCTATCATCTATCAGTCTATCTATGTATCTATGTATCTATCTATCTATCTATCTGTCTGTCTATCAGTCTATCAGTCTGTCTGTCTGTCTGTCTATCATCTAGATATCGATCTGTCTATCTGGCTGTCTGTCTGTCTGTCTGTCCGTCCGTCCGTCCGTCTGTCTATCAGTCTGTCTCTCTATCAGTCTATCAGTCTGTCTATCTGTCTATCTGTCTGTCTATCTATCTATCTGTCTGTCTGTCTACCTGTCTACCTATCTACCTATCTATTTATCTATCTATCTATCTATCTATCTATCTATCTATCTATCTATCTATCTATCTATC